CCTTTGATTTGGTTTTTGTTTTGAACTAACCGCCCGATGGCATTTGCGGTTCGCCTGTGTGTGCGAGCGAGTGGGCGCCAGTGTCGCTCTCTCTCTCTCTCTCTCTCTCTCTCTTTCCGACTTTTGTTTTAGTATTTAACTTAGTTTTGTATATTTGTTGTTTGTTTGCCGCCAAACCGCACGAGGCGACTTCTCGATGCCAACTGAGCGTTCTCAACGCGTGTCCTTAGCTTTTAAGCAGTCGCTGTCGCAGTCACCGTCGCTACCCGCAGCAGCAACAACACCAACACCAACACCAGCAACAACAACAACAAAGTACTGCCAATGGCAGTGACACCCCAGAGGTGTATATTAAATTAATGCTAAGTTGGTTACAGAGAGCCCCAAAACGAATAAAAATGCGGGGGGACATATTGCACGGACCCATTTCTCTGGACAAATTATGTATGGTCAAGCATTAAAGTATCGGAGCATCCAAAAACCAGCTTCCTTGGATGATTTAAAACATGTCTTGAGTAAAACAAATCGTAAGTGTTTGTACTTCAAATATTGACTATCAAAAACAGCTTTAGCCAATAAATATACAAATAGTTATTGCTTACATTATTTTAATAGTTTTAAATTAGCGTAAAAACTTTATACATTTTTATTTTTTCACTAAAATTTGATTACTCATATTATATGTTATTTAAATGTAATTTTATTTGGGTAGTTCAAGTAAAAGTAAAAATTAATTAGGAAATCAGCTAGACTATAAACAAATACCAGATGTTACCCATTCATTTGGGATTCAGGAGCTATTTACTTTTGTCTTTAATGATAGGTTACTTGAGGTTGCAATTGAAGTGCCATAGGATGTCCACTATTTCGTTAGGATGTGATGAATGTAAACCACCCATTTGCGGTGCAAACTGCACTGTTTACCTGCCCGGTGGTGGTGCCGTCCTCTTATTACCCCAATTCATTACTTTGTGGGTACTACAGGTGCCGCCGATGGAAGTCCATTTGGCACGTTCCACACACAAAGCGATCTAATCGGTGCTCTGTTTTTTTTTTTTTTTTTTTTTGCGGTTTTTACTGGGCTGTCTGCGCCAGCCAGCATGACGCTGTAACACACCCATTGAGCCGCAGAAGCACTAAACCACCGAACCACCGAAACAGCCACCACTGAACCCCCCGAAGCAATGGCAAAAGCGAACCCAACCCCCCGCCACCCACTGGTCATTGGCGTTGGCATTATCAGTGCGTGATCATCGTGTCATTGTCAATGGGGTCCGAAACAAAAAACTAATTACCACCCTGTCCGATAAGTTGGGAGATTAGGGAGCAGCGCTTCCTCCCCCGAAAACGAATATAACAGCCCACAACACCCACATTTTGTTTTTCCGCCCATCTTGTGTGTTATTGCTTTGTGACAACACTTGTTTCGGCCACTCGATGCGGCAGGTAATCGTCGAAATTGCGTTCTCCATTCGATTTCGCTGATTGATGGAAGACCTGTCCCCGAAGTCCATGAATTCCCTAGCGATCATATATTGGCAGCCCTGTGTCGTTACTCCCCCTCCCCATCCCCATCCCGCTGCCCCTTAAATTGTGGGGTGGGGGGGTGATTTCCCCGCCCACTTACATACCCATTCCCAAGCCACCCTTAAAACACCCATCATTTGATCGATTTTCGTTAGCTGATTGTTATCCTAGCTCACAAAAATAGATTCAAAGTTTCCAAACACGCGCTTTAAGCTCCAAAAAAAAAAAACACAAATGAGGGCCCAACAGGTGGCGTAAGTACACTGGCAGAAAAATTGTTTATTTTTCTTAATTTATATCTATGGTTAACTTTGGTTTCTGCTTAAAAACAGCCCAGAAGAAGTTAAAATAATAAGAGTGTTTAGTAAGCACATTAGAAAAATATTTATACTGTTTACATAAATATTATCTTTATGTGTCGTAGACATCTGTCGTAAGTGCATACTATAATTTTATTATTTTATGCAGCCCAAGCCAATTAATTGGCATGATAGTATCGAAATGATAAGAAAAACTATAAATCGAGATTAAAACCTATTGCAAATGCAATGTTTGTCTACATTGTAAGGGTGGCTTTGAAAAAAAAAAACCTAAAATAATAGTTTTAAAATGTTTTTTAATTAAATAAATTAACCTATGGTACTATATCACCAAGTTAAAATACAAAAGGGTAATATTTATGTTTTTTTAAAGATTTAAAATTTATGTACAATTTTTTCTTCGAGTGCTTTGTCCATAAGGTTCGCGTGTGTTGCTACTACAAATCAAACTCCAGTGTTCCTGCTCCACAACCACCAGCCTGAAATCGAAAAAGGACAACGACCGAACTGCCGGTTACCTGGATTTTTAGTTTTGGCGCAAAACTTTTCGCGGCACGTGCGTGGCTTTTCCTCTTTTTCCTGTTGACATTGGCGGAATGCGATTCCTTAAGCGCCATATGGCAGCCAAAAAAGAAAAAAATTGTTGAGACGAAACACAGAGAGCACAATTATTCCGAAACTCCTTAAAAAATAAATCAGTTAAATCAAAGGAAACGGTTTTATGGAAATATTGCTTTATTTTTGAATGCTCTTGATTGAAACTTCAACTTGAAACTTCGCGTTGCACATTTGATGTGGTTTTGGGCAACCGCTTATTCCTTTGGCGTGCGACTAAACTAAACAATCAGTTAAGCGCTTAGTTTACCGGTCCGGTTAAAACAGAGCTTTCGGCGGCAGAAAGCTCGATGGGGTTAAGAGAACACTTGTTGAACGGCGAAGAGAAAGGCTATTTAAAAATGCCGCCATCGAGCTGTTCAAACGGTTATTTCCGACAGCCCTGGCAGTGGTGGTGCTGCCAGACTCCCGCCTCCCCCGGCAGCGTTGCCACGTTTCGGCACTCCCACACTTGTCACTTTGTTTTCCCTTTCGTGTTTATTTTGTTACCAGTTTTCTTTTGCTCTTGTCTTTCGATCTGTGTGACGCGTGCCAATTTCCACATTTTCCGCTCTCCATGTTTTGACTTCGTTTTCCGCAAATCTCAGCTTTTGAATCTCGTGACAAGTTTTTCCCACCGGAAAAATGCTAAACCGATTTTACTGTTTGTTTTTGTTGACCCCCCTGCTGTGTTTCGTTGTGGGCGTGTCGAGGGCAGAGGAGGAGGGGAAGGGGGAGTGCCGCCGACTCAAACGTGCAGATGTCGAGGGCAGACTGTCCACGAAGACGCCGTACAGGGCGATCGCCAATTACGACGAAACGCCGCCTCAATACGCCGGTTTGTATATTTGCACTGCAGGTACAGTGGGCACCCGCTGGGGCATGCCGAACATCTGTTGGGTCAGCTGACGCAAGACAGACGCTCGATACAGTAAATCAACCAAAACAACGCTGGTTCTTAGCAATTTAATTCTTTCAGAATCCGTGCATTAAAGCCTAACAACATTTTTAAAAGAGAAGTGCTGTTATTATTTAATTGACAATATTTTTATTTTGTTTTGTAAAATTTTTATATCTTCTTTATTTTTTTAATTCGGATATTTTTGTTTACTTCGATAGCTTAGAGCGTTTAAAACTAAAAGATCAACAATATTTATTTGCTTACAGTTTTGGATAAAATAAATAATATAAACAGGCGACAGTTCTCCCAACTGGTGTCCACTGTAACCGTTTGCATATGATTGCTGAAACAGCTGACTTTTGTTAACCGTTTCTTTTACCCGTTTCGCCACACAAGGCTGCCACCCGACTCGAATCTGGTCCATAATCCGTCATGGAACTCGAAATCCCAGCGAATCCGTGATTCTCCAGGCCCAAAATCGCCTCGAAGAGATTAAGAATCTCATTTTAAATCAACGAAAGCCGCCTATCTGCTCTGCTGAACTGAAAAAACTGCGTCAATGGAGCTGGAAGCACCTGAATGCCACCGAAGATGAGAAATTACTGGTGGCGGAGGGCGAGGATGAGCTGATCGAACTGGCGGAGCGGATGCAGCACCGCTTTCCGGACCTACTTCCGGACCTCTACAGCCCGGAGTGGTATTACTTCAAATATACGGCCACGCAGAGAACCCTGAAAAGTGCTCAGAGCTTCGCTACAGGTTTATTTGGCCGCCATCGTATCCATTCTGTTCGCTATCCACCGCCATTGCACGAGGATCCTGTTTTAAGGGTGAGTTTTCCTTCATATTATAACATTACTAAAACTTTAACTGAAATAATTTACTATTAAACTATTATTCACATTTTTATTGTGATATAATTTTGTCATGAACAATAAAAAGACGCAAAGAAAACAAAGACTTATCAATGTGGTTATTCTGAAAAGAAAACTACAATGACTTGTCGAATATAGATTTCTTACATGAAAAAGTAATAAGCGAAAGAAATTTAATTTTCGCGCCTTGCTTGGCTATGCAATTATATGGCTACGCCAACCATTAAAAAGACAGCACCAATAGTAGTGTTACCATATTTGAAAAACCTCGATGTCGGCAAAACATCGATTTTTAGGACATTGTTGACAATCGATGCTACTATCGATGCTTTTCCACCCAAATTAACATTTATGTTAGGTAAACGTTAATTTTTAACAGATCTGTTGGGATATCAGTTGCTTAATAGATATTTTAAAAACTCGATGACGCCCTGCCGGCTTTGTGCCATCGATATTTTTGGCGCACAATATCAATGCTTCATCGATGTTTGAAATATAATTAAAGACGGCTTTATCTCCTAAACCGTTTCATATGTTAGCTTAACGTCCAACATTTTATATTTTTAATATTTTAAGAGAAATAACAAAGCAAAGAAGTTCTTGGAACAAAAATTATGTTTTGTGCTTAATTCACATACATATTATGCCAAACTGTAGAGTGTTCACATATTCAATCACAGAAACAAACGAATTTTTGACTTTTAAGGTTTCTTGTTAATATACCATAATGTTTTCGTTTCTTGAGTTAAAATACATTGTTTTGATTTTTACATGAGAATTTGAACAGAGGGTGTGAGAGAACTGGAGTGAAAAGTTAACAGTGCAAGAACAGAGGCGAAAATCGTTACAGATGGAAAAACAGCGATGACGAGCTGCCAAACATCGTTAAAACGCAGTTTTGAATACCGCGGCTATCGATAACACGAATCTTCGAAAACATCGATGTCACCGATAACACTGTCGATGTTTCTCCACCTCTATTTCTCGTATAATTCGATTAAACTAAATAATAAACGCGAATATAAGTGTAAAAAGCGGTAAATGCGTATTTCCGCCTGGTTATTTCTGTTGCTCAACTGACGCGAACCCGGACAAGTGGTGCGCACTTTATTTTGGCCAGGCGGCGTGCTTTCCCCGAGCTCTTTTCACCCGTATTTGGGAAATGGGCCGCGATCCGTAGGCGGAAAACGTGGAGAAGGAGAAGAGGAAGGGCAAAGGAAAAGCGGCGAGGAGGAGCGGAGTGCGAGGAGGAAGTGCGAAAAGTGTTTGGGGTTATGTGCTAGAGTCCCCGCGGGGGGATTTTCAGCTGCTTGGATCCGCAGCGGAGACGTAATCGTTCCGGGAAATCGCTCGCCGCCCCACGAAAACCAACAAAAGAAGACGACGCAAAACATCATGGCAAGTGCCGTTCGCGCTAAGTCCGCCTCTGCCGCGGTCGCCGTCGCAGTCGAGGAGAGCAGCGGCAGCGGCAGCGGCGGCGGTGGCAGCGGTAGCGGCAGCAACGGCAGCGTCGCGGACCAGCAGGTGTCCACCAGCCAGGAGGCGAAGTCAGCCGAATCGCTTAGCTCGCTCAGTTCGCTCATTCGCAAGCGGCACGAAAGCTACCTAAGCGGCCGCTGGGACGATCCCGTGCTGCTGATAATGGAGCTCCTGGAGCAGATCGAGCGCTGCCAGACGGCCGCCCTGGAGGAGCAGATGGCCAGCAGTCAGCAGGACCTGCGCGAGCTGGTGCGCAGCCTGAAGCGGGAGGACCACTCCCTGCTGCTGATCACGCAGCACGTCGAGCACATATCCGACATCCTGGCGGCCGACGGCCCGGACCAGTACTCCCTGGGCTGCCTGCGCGACCTGATCAAGACCATGCGCCTGGAGTGGCCGCGCGACGACTCGCTGCGCCTGCTGATGCAGGAGATCCAGAGCAAGGGCCTGCCGGCCCTGCCGCCGCCGGAGAGCATATGCTTCGGGGAGCGCCTGCGCGACGACCGCTGCCCCCTGTCGCTGCAGACCAAGCGGCACAAGGAGCGCATCCAGGCCATGCTGTACGAGCGTCAGCCGTGGCGCATCCGCGAGCGCATGAAAACGGCCAGCGTGGCCCTGGTGCTGTGCCTCAACATCGGCGTGGACCCACCGGACGTGGTCAAGATCCAGCCGTGCTCCCGTTTGGAGTGCTGGATCGATCCCAGCTCCGTGTCGCCGCCCAAGGCCATGGAGCTGATTGGGAGCAACCTGCAGATGCAGTACGAGCGCTGGCAGCCGCGCGCCCGCTACAAGAAGTGCCACGATCCCACCGTGGACGACGTGAAGAAGCTGTGCACCTCGCTGCGGCGCAACGCCAAGGGCGAACGCATCCTGTTCCACTACAACGGCCATGGGGTGCCCAAGCCCACGGCCAACGGCGAGATCTGGGTGTTCAACAAGACCTTCACGCAGTACATACCGCTGAGCATCTTCGAGCTGATCACATGGATGTCGGCGCCCTCCATCTACGTGTACGACTGCTCCAATGCGGGCATCATCATCAACTCGTTCCAGCCGTACGCCGAGCAGCACGAGCACGAGCTGGAGAAGGCCCTGGCCGCCGCCCAGCAGCGGGGCGGGGTCCAGCAGGTGGCCGGCGGCGGTGGCGGTGGCGCCGCCAATGCCAGCGCTGCCAACGTGGGCATCGGCGGCATCGGCGGCATCGGCGGCCAGCAGGTGCAGCTGCCCAACCAGCTGGTCAGCTACAAGAACTGCATACACCTGGCCGCCTGTGCGGCCAACGAGATTCTGCCCATGAATGCCCAGCTGCCGGCGGATCTGTTCACCAGCTGCCTGACCACGCCCATCAACATAGCGCTCAAGTGGTACGCCATGCAGGAGAAGCTGGGCATGGTGCCGCGCATCCAGAGCGAGCTGATCGACAAGATACCAGGTGAGGTTGCGCCGCCACCCAGCTAATCCCCGCCAGACTCCTAACCACTTAATATCCCCTCTGCAGGCAAGGTAAACGATCGGCGCACCATGATGGGCGAGCTCAACTGGATCTTCACGGCCATCACGGACACGATAGCCTGGAACACGCTGCCGCGCGAACTGTTCCAGCGCCTGTTCCGCCAGGACCTGCTCGTGGCCAGTCTGTTCCGCAACTTTCTGCTGGCCGAACGCATCCTGCGCAGCCACGACTGCACCCCCGTCTCGCTGCCAGCCCTTCCGCCTTGCTACCGCCACCCGATGTGGAAGGCCTGGGACCTGGTGGTGGACCTGGCGCTGCAGCAACTGCCCGAGATCCTCGACCACAATGCCCCGTACCGCCAGCTGCCGTTCTTCGAGCACCAGCTCACGGCCTTCCAGGTCTGGCTGGACAGCGAGTCGGAGTCGCGAACGCCGCCGGAGCAGCTGCCCATTGTGCTGCAGGTGCTGCTGTCGCAGGTGCACCGCCTGCGGGCCCTGGAGCTGTTGGCCCGCTTCCTGGACCTCGGCCCCTGGGCCGTCAATCTCGCCCTGGGCGTGGGCATCTTCCCGTACGTGCTGAAGCTGCTGCAGAGCTCGACGCGCGAACTGCGACCCGTGCTGGTGTTCATCTGGGCCAAGATCCTGGCCGTGGACCCCAGCTGCCAGGTGGACCTGGTCAAGGAGTACAAGTACTTTCTGTCCGTGCTGCAGGACACCGCCGTCTCCAAGGAGCACCGCACGCTCTCCGCCTTCGTGCTCTCCTCCATCGTGCACAACTTCCTGCTGGGCCAGACGAGCGCCCTGCAGGGCCCGCTGCTCTCCATCTGCCTGGAGCAGCTGAACGACGGCAGCTGGCTGCTGCGCCAGTGGCTGGCCATCTGCCTGGGCATGCTGTGGCAGAACTTCGAGAAGGCGCGCTGGTCGGGTGCCCGCGACCTGGCGCACGAGAAGCTCTACGTCCTGCTGCGCGACGCCATTCCGGAGGTGCGGGCCGCCGCCGTCTTCGCCCTGGGCACGTTCATCAGCTCGGTGACGGACCGCAGCGAGGAGCAGGCGAACAACATCGATCGCATCATTGCCATCACCATGCTGGAGACCGTGGGCGAGGACATGTCGCCGCTGGTGCGCATGGAACTGGCCGCCGCCCTGCAGTGGATGGTCCTGCTCTTCGAGTCGCAGTTCGTGGCCGTCTACCTGGCGGAGCATATGCGCGGCCACGCCTCCGCCGCCGCCGCCGCTGCCGCCTCGTTTGTGATGTGCGGCGATCCGCGGGATCTGACCTCCTCCACGCACAGCCTGGAGCGGCACGTGACCATGCGGCGGGGGGCCAGCTCCAGTTCGATATCCAACATGGGCGGAGCCTCGACCGCCAGCTCGGCAGCGGGCTCGTCCGGCGGCAACACCCTGGGTCGCTCCAAGAGTGGCTCCGGCGCCAGCTCGGGCGGCCGAGGAGCCGGCGGCACTGCGGCGGGCACCAACAGCATACCCTTCCAGTCGATCTTCACCAAACTGTGGCTGGGCATCTGCAACCTGGCCCAGGATCCGTTTCCCCGCGTGGCGGCCATTGCCCAGGAGATCGTGGACCACGTGCGGGACACCGCCCTCTGCCCCATCATGGCCGCCAAGGAGGCCACCATGGCCACGGCCTCGGAGAAGTGCAGCAGCCTGAGTGTCAGCCTGCCGCCCAGTCCGAACACACGGGTCAACTACCTGGGTGGCGGCGGCGGAGGAGGAGGAGGCGGCGGCGGCGGAGCAGGAGCGGCCGGAGAATCGCCGCCCGTGGGAGCAGCTGCCTCGGGCGCCAGTCATTGGGCCCAGAAGTTGCGGCTCTCGGGCAGCGGCGGCGGCGGCGGCGGCGGCGGCGATCCGCAGGCCATTCTGCAGCGCAAGCTGCGCACCAGCTCCATCAACGACGAGACTGACAGCGGCGCACCCGCCTATTCCCGGGGAGCGGCAGGCGCCGGAGGCCTGGGCCTGCCCAGCGGACCGCGGGAGAGCACCCATTCGGCGCGCAGCAGCGGCAGCGAGAGCAACCAGTACTTGGAGCCGGGCCACAGCCTCACGCCCATCGTGCTCACGGAGTTCATCCCGTGGGCCATCTCCTATTTCACGCGGCCGGGCAAGGAGCGCTACAGCAGCGCCGAGGGAGCGGCGGAGGAGGGACGCCAGCGCTTCCCGGTGGACCGCAACTCGGCGGAGCTGCGGCGCCGCAGGTCGCGCTTCCTGCGGAACGACTTCGTGCGCCGGCATGCGCGGCGCCAGCAGCAGGAGCAGAGCGACCGCTTCGGCTACGATGTGTGCGTGTGGAACCGCAAGACACAGTTCACGCCCTCCATCGTCAAGCTGCTGCCGTACGAGCCGCAGATAGCGGTGGCCTACCGCGATAAGGTCCTGGTCTACGACTTCCAGTACAACTCGGTGCGCACCTACGGTGCCGAGGCCCTGGGCGGCGTCAGCACCACGGGCTCCAGCTCGGGCTATGGATCCGGTTCGGGCTCGTCCTCTTCGCTCAACGGCAGCACTCCGCGCAAGTCGGGACTGCCAACCGGAGGAGGTGGCTCATCCGCCGCCGCCGCCGCCGCCCCCTTTGCCCGCGTGAGCAGCATCGAGTTCATCAACGCCCAGGACATGGCCCTCAATCTGGTGGCCCACGAGGACGGGGTGGTGCGTGTGTGGCAGTCCTCCTCGCCGCCCACCACCAGCGGCAGCTCAGGCTCCGAAGATGCGCCCAGCAAGGCTCGCCTGGTGACCGCCTGGACGGCCCTGGGTCAGGTGAATCAGCATGGCTACCGCCAGCGCAGCGGTGGAAGCATTGGCAAGGGAGCAGGCGCGGGATCAGATGCGATGAGCAGTGGAAGCGGCGGCTGCGGGAGCATCGTGACCGCCTGGCAGCAGTGCAGCCAGCACCTGGTGATAGGCGGCGGCGGCTGTCGCTTCGTGCGCATCTGGGACGTGGAGCGGGAGCTGAAGCTCGCCGATATTCCGCTGGGACGCAGCGAGGCGTGCGTCCGGGTGCTGGCACCCTACCTGCCCAACATGCGCTCCGACGTGATCCTCGCCGGCTGCGACGACGGCAGCGTGCTGCTGTTCGACAAGCGCTGCTCGCCGCAGGACGCCCGCATCTCGGTGCTGCGGCGCCACAGTGCGCCGCTGCTGCACGCCAGCCTGCGGGCCAACGAGACGGTCCTGGTCTCCGGCTGCACCGAGGGACGGATCAGCGTGTCGGACTTGCGGGCCACCCAATCGCAGTTTGGCAGCGGCGTGGGCGTAGGCGTGGGTGTGGGCGTGTGCGAACGCGTGCTGCACGAGTGGGAGGCGGGCGGGGATGTGACGGCCATTGCCAGTCACCAACTGGCGGACACGGTGGCATGCGGCAACGCCTCCAAGATCGGCATCTACTCGCTGGACGGACGCGTGCAGAAGGTGCTGCGCACGAACGAGGGCTTCATCGGGCCCAAGATCGGCCATCCCACCTGGCTGTCCTTCCACGCCTACAAGGTGCAGCTGGCGGTGGGCTTTGTGGACAACACGGTGGCCATCTACAGCCCCACGCCAGGTAGAGAAAGCGATTCGCGGCATAGCACTTAGTTGTATCTCTATTACCAGTATTGTTATGTATTGTTATAAGTGATAGCTTCAATGTCCAGTAGCTTGACTGATTGCCCTCTCGATCTTCTGTCCTTGCAGTTCTATAAGGGCTGTGGCAAGTGGAAAACAGACGTCGATAAGAATCCCGAAACCTTGGTCAACGCACGCAGGTTCCTCGCGGAGCCGCAGATGCAGTCAGCAGTGGAGCAGGTGCGGAGCAGCACCCGCCTGCCGGATCTCCGGCCGGAGGATGTGCAGCTCATGTACACGGTGTGCGCCTTCGAGACGGCCTGGCATCGTCCGCCTCGCAGCTCCAGCTCCAGTTCTAGTTCCAGTTCTAGTTCCAGCCATAGCGCTAGCTATAGTTCCCGATCCGCAACCGATTCCGTGTGGTGCAACTTCTTCGATGTGGCCGCCTTGGAGGCGTTGGAGTTCTTCGAGGATCTGGAGTACTATTGGAACGATGGCTACGGCTACGAGCTGACCCATCGCATTGCCTGTCCGGCAATCGCAGACATGTTTGCGGCCATTGGGTGAGTGGCGTCTTAGCTTAAATCCAACTATCCAAAGGGTTAAAACATATGGAGCAAACGTATTGTTGATATTTAAAATATTGCATTTAATGGAAATATGTTATGTAGATTTTCAAATGAGCTATGCGTCCATTTGAGTGAACATCTTGATCTTGATCTTTCAAGCGAGCACAGTAAACAAGTTTTGAATGCAAATCCCAGCCAAATCTGGTTTTTTACAATACATTCAGCTAAATCGTGCAAAGTCATTTTCATTTTCAAGATAAACATGTCAATGTCAAATATTTAGTTAAAGCCACTTTGTGTGTCTATGGAAGTTCTTCAATAGGTTGTTCATCAGTTTGTAAGTGATTTTTAATAGAACGAAAATCCTAAATAGAAACTTACTTCTATTACATTTCTTCTACTTTCTTCTCTGTGTAAATCTCCAACTAATTGCATTCCATTTCATTTGCAGTTCCTCGGAGAAGAAGAAGGAGAAGGAGGAGCGTCGTGCCAATGCCACGTTATACTTCACGCACTCGGGAACGCTGCTGAAGCTGCTGGCCCACCTGGGATTGGCCCGGGACAAGAAGCCGCTGACGCACAAGCACTTTGCCAGCGAGCGTCGTTGGCGCACCAGCCAGATCGACGCGTTCGCGACCAACTTGGCCTTCCTCCGCTACGAGTAAGTGTTGCAACGGGGTAGGCATAAGGAAAGTAACATATGTGTAATGGCCAATCCCCGCCTGCAGCTGTGACAAGGAGGAGCCACAGGTCCTGGTGCTGCACCAAGAGCGAGTGGTGCGCCTGCCCCAGTGCCCGCAGGACAAGGACCTCTGTCCGTTGGCCACGCTGCGTCGCACTTTCGCCAGGAGCGTGGAGCACTGCGACGTCGAGGAGCTGTGCCGGGTGGTGGCCAACTGAGGAGCTGATTGGGAGTCGGAAACGAAATCGGATTGCTGGAGCTGCTGCTGCTCTGCTGCTGCTCTGCTCCCCTGCCACTGCAAAAGACCTCGTGAGAAGGGATTCATCGGAATGTTTAGGATACACTGCAAAAACAAAAAAAAAAACGATATAGATAAGAATGGAATAGATGCGAAGGGACTGGTGACTGGTGGTCCAGCCAGGATTAGTTTTGTAAGATTGAGGAAAGCGCGAGAGAGAGAGAGAGAGAGAGAGAGAGCGAGAAACCGGAGAGGAATATGTGTTGACCAAGTGGCGAGTCGAAATCTGTGTGTTTTGTATGCCTTATTAATCAATGTGGACCATCCGATCCAGAGCAAGCGAACTGCGAACTGCGAACAGGAGTGCAGGAGAGAGAGCGAGATGGAGATGGCGATGGAGAACGGAAGACAGAGGATAGAAAGAGAGATAGAGAGAGAGGAAGAGGCGAGCCCGTGTCATGCTTTATATATATATATATACTTTAGTCTATAAACTCCAGATGTCTCCCCAACTGCTCCAAAAGATTTGCCCGATAAATCTTGATTTACCTATTTTTTTTTTGTTATTCAGTTAATCATACTACAACCTTAACCTATTCCTTATCCTAAATTCAAAAGCCAAACGGCAACGCATAGTGTACATATATAAATACTGATGTCTAATCTTAATTAACTATATAAATTACAAACCACACATAGTTATATGCTTCTATTCAAATCGATCCTTTCCCCCCCAAAAAAAAAAAAAAAAAAAAAAAAAAAAGAAAACGTTCGTTGTGCTAACTTGTGTTATATACCTATAAACAAAACCGGATATATAAATATATATATATATATTTGATAAGGCAAGGATATGGAACAAATGTTGGGTTCCTATATCAATTGTTCAGCGGAAAGAGAGAGACCCACACACTTTGTACATAGCACTTACGACTTTAATCACTTTTGTCTAATTATGTTTGATAGGACAAACAGCCCAACAACCAATAACAACTATCAACAACAACAACCACAACAAGAACAACAAGAACAACAACCGCAGTAACAACAAATAAAACTAACGAAAATTCTAGTTTAAAGCTTAACGCGCTTGGACTTTTCAATTTGTTTAAGCTAAAAATAAAGAGAAACGAAAAATCAATGCACACCTGTGGGCGAATGACTTGGCTTTTAAGCAGGCTTTTAAATAGTTTCTTCGATTTTTCCCCCTTGTTTTTATTTTTATGGGTGCAAACTTCCCGTATTTGCTCAGCGTGTGCCCCGCTAGTGTTTACAGCCAGCTAATTTGTGTTGCCGTTCGAGAGGGTCACCCGTAATCCCCGGCCGGCGGAACAAAGGCCATCTCTGCGGATTTCGAGATACGCGAATCTTGAGTATCGTGGCATCTCACAGGTACTGCAATCAAAACTTCGGATCGAAATCAAGTGGGTTTTCAGTCTCGATCAAATAACAACTCAAAGACTTTGCTCTTATTTGCCAGTGCAGTTCATTATGCAGTCTTGAGAGGAATATATACAAAACCCATGGGACGTGGTAGTTACCCTTTACTGTAAAAAGTATTCCTTTATTTTAATACTCTCTTTTTGGGAGTTTGGATTTCGATGTTCTCTCATCGAAAGTCTTAATTTGTTATATAATTGTATTTATTGATTTGGAATTCCAATCTTAAGAACATGGCAATCATATACCCCTTGGCTTTAGTTTACTCAAAGGCGAAACCGGAAATTTTCCTTAAGTGGCGTAAGAATCCCCAACTAATATGTATATTTAGTATACAGTATTACAGCCACCTAATTATACTTAATTTAGCATACGCAAGCATTGTATTGGCTTAGATAATTTGTATTTTAATAATGGAAAAATAATAATTAGTACCTAGTTTTGGGTGTATGTTTCAGCGATTACCGTCTTAATGACTGCATTTTTTCAGTTTGAATGTTACAAACGTGTGCTCAAATGCAATATACCCCTGGGTTCTGCCTGAAAACATCTGATTCCACACGAGGGTCGAATGAGAGATTCTGCACTTACCCGTTAAATATATTAGAAATGGATATATTATTAATTATATATTTATTTTGTTAATTGTTTCAAAGCATGTTATTGATTTTAGTTAAGACGAACTGCAAAAGACATACAATTCCATGATAGCCAAATTTATTACTTTTAAGGTGTGCAAGAAAAAAAAGTCTTTGTATATCATATACTTGTTTGTTCATTTATTATTAGTTCCTCTTTTGCCTAACAAATACTAATCGCCATAATGTTTCCCATCTCCCCCCGTCACATATATCTTAGTGTTCCGAGTTCGGCCCATAATGGGTATCCAATATTTGTGGGGTGTGCCGGGTGTTCGGAGGCAACAGGTTCAACCCTTAGCCAGCGAAGCTTTTCGACCCGAAAGCTGCGAGGAGCTGCGCAGGCGTCGACTGCGGCAGAGGCAGGGGCAGCGGCAGAGGCAGCGACAGCGACAGAGGCGGCGGCAGAGGCTGCGGCGGACTTTCCGCCAAGCGGACGGATTTGGATTTGGCCAAAAAAGCGATTCAGTCTCAGTGCGCTGTTGTCGCTGCGATAGGCGCATCGCTGGCATTTCCTGGCCGTTTTTGAACATTTTCGAACAGAAACACCTCTTGGCAGGCCGTTTGTTTTTTGTAATTGTAATAATTTCTGGTGTGTGCGCGTGCGAGTGGTTTTTCCTGTTATTGGAAAACATCGAAAATTGTACGGGGTGGGGCGTTGGCGTTGGCGGTGGCGGTGGCGGTGGCTGCGGTAACTGAAAGTGGCCGGGTGGCCTGATGTCCCGATGTCCCAATGTCCCAATGTCCGAATGTCCTGGCCATGAATCGAGCGACGAATCAACAAATTAGGGGTTGTCCTGGTCGCGCGCGAGTGTCTGTTTGTGTTCGTGTGTGTTAGCTAGTGTGCTACACAGCAATAATTTGGGGATACCTCTTGAGGGGTTTTTAAAATTTGAAAACAAAAAACAAAGTAAAAAACTGTAAAAACAAGCAAGCAATGGATTTTCAGTACAAGTACTAAGAAAGAAAGTGTTCTTAATTTTTTCTGTGTGAAGTGTGTGTGCTTTCGTGTGCAAGTCCTGGCCAATTGAATCACCTGATGGTTAAGAAACATGACCTAATTCCGCTCAGCATCTCGGATTAGCCAGGACCTGAACCGCGCTTAGAAAACCACCCCCATAACCTTAACCCCCGCACGCCGGCAGCCTCACCCTTAACCCCAGCTCGGGCACTTTGCTGGCTTCGCGCTTCCGCATTCTAATGAAATTGCAATCATTTGACAATTTGATTGCCAGCCGTCGGCTCATCCAGACTCCTCCACTTACAGCGCTTCCCGCTCCCATATACCACATAAGACGCCCCCCAGCCGCCCGTCCGCCCATCTCAGCACCACTCATCAGCATGGAGCAGATGTGCTACCTGACGCTGAGCCTCCTGCTGGCCATCGTCGTGCTCTACGGGCTCCTGGAGCTCCACTACTTCCTGCGCATGTGCCTCTGTGTCCTGCTCGCGCGCTTCGTCAAGAGACGCTGCCACATCCTGGACGTCACCACTGTGAACGGTGAGTACTCCAAGCTGCAAGCTGCAAGCTCTAAGCTCTCTCTCTCCAAGATCTCTAATCTTTTGGAGTAACAATAGAGACATCCTTTATCCCTATACCCATAGACAACAAAGGCACAGCCATTCCAATTGCAGTCTAGGCTTTTGGCATTGCCCATTTATGGTCATGCACTGAGAGAAGTGGTCAAGTTTTTTGTTATTCCGACTTTCTACAATACACTCAGAATTTTCATCAGCTTATTGTCTTAATTAATTGTAACATTTTAATTTCTTCAAGAGTTCTTTACACGGAAAATAATATTAAACATTTGAAGTATACAGATTGACAAGAAAACATTAATTTTAATTGCTCATAAATATAATACTTATGAAGAATCCTTTGAATTCAAAGTGAAATGAATGTAATACAAATATATTACAAATTTGTATTTAATTGCTTTTAGTACTTCAGAAATTGCAAAAAACTATGTAAGTACACTTTGAATTCAGAGTGAAACTGATATATTCAAAATTAATTAGTCTTAAAGGTCTATAAAATTGATTGACAATTTCATTAAATAAATATACATTCAATGTATCTAAAACTTCTTATTCTCAAGCTAAAAATATTATAAAGTTTTCCATATCATACTTAGAACTAATAATTTAGCTTCAAATAAATAACACAAGATAATTATTACCACAATCGATTTTTGTTGCAGTCGTATAATAAAAGAAACTTGTTTACGAACAAAACAAACAAATGATTTAAGGCTTGAAAAGTGCATAATTATATTTTGTACGACCCTGAAGTTGGTTTTAAATAGAGTGGACCATATAAAGTTTAAGTACCAGCAAGATGGCTCTAAAGGTTATCACGCATACGCCGTGTTGGCTCTACATTCTATTTGAAGTTTATTTATTTTATGAAAGCAATCATTTGTTTTAGAGTTGTTGATTACCATATAACGATTGCAATTGGCGTGGCTATTTAAAATAGATTATACAAGTGCAAGAATTGAAAAACTTATAGAAATCGATATCTTAACTATGGTTTTTTCTAACGACACAAGTGGGTTCTCCTAGTATAATCTTCCCTTCAGTTATCGTAACTTCACTTAATCCCTCATCTCTAACACTCTCCTTAGGATTGTGCCTCACCAACGATGTGGACACATTGTTGTACCACATGAACAACGCTCGTTATTTCCGGGAGCTGGACTTCGCGCGCGTGGACTTCTACGAGCGGACCAATCTGTACCGCACCATCACGGGAATGGGCGGTTCCGTTTTCCAGGGGGCGGCCACCATCCGCTACCGCCGTTTCATCCGCCCCTTTCACCGGTTCAACATAGTGTCGCGGGTGAGTGTTTAGGCAGAAAATGTCAATAACATGCATTTTCTTGCATAAAATGGTACTTGAAAAATAATTATTTATATTGCTTAAAATTTGACGTTTCTGAAAAAATTAAATAACATTTTTATTACTTACTTACCATTCAAAAAGCCCTCTAAAGTTAACATGGCTTTTCAGCCATGTTTATTATGACAACGTCAAACGCAATTTACCCGCATTTAAAATATCAAACTCTTAGAAGATTACATTTTTCGCTATTTAAACTTCGAATTTTTGAAAAGTTAAATGTAAAGATATTTTGTTTTTTTTAATTAAGCAGCTCAAAATACCTGTAAAGTAATGGTCTCTCCCTATTGAAATAAAACGTTTTTATCTGCTATGCGGAGATTTATTTGTTAGTAAATGTTTAAACTCTAACTTGGCCATTAAAATATTTACAAGTTTTAAGTACACTTTGCACTAAAATTTCATATAAAATGTACATATTAGCTAACTTGCTAATTACAATCCAGATTATCAAGTATTAACTTTAAATTAGCAGTATAAATTTATATATGTATATTCCATTGTTAATCTTGATACCCTTCCAATTTTTCAGATAATTTACTGGGACGAACAGTCGCTGTTCATGGAGCACCGCTTCGTGCGTCCGTCGGACAAGTTCGTGCACTGCATCGCGATTTGCCGCCAGCGGGTGATCGACGTGTCCATGGAGGCGGTGATGGCGGAACTCCTGCCCAGGACCTCCTCGAACGGATTCCGGGCGACGTCGTCGCCATCGCTATCGCCAGCGCTGGCTGCCCCATCGACGACGCCGGCGTTGGGTGGGATTAGCAATCCGGCGATGGACACTTCACTGGCGGAGAACGGACATAGTGCGACCGGAGGGACGACGGTTGCCACGCCCACAGCCGCAGCGGCGTCGCACTGCCTCAAGTTGAAGCCCTCGTTGCCGCCGGAGTTGTCCAAGTGGATCGAGTACAACGAGATGTCCAGCAAGAATTTGCGCAGCGGCTGCTGACTGGAATCGTTCGAATCGTTGGAATCGCCGCAAGCGGAAGCGCAAGGGAAAGCGGTTGCGCAACCGGAAACGGAAACTCCCATTAACCCATTTTTTTTTGCCTCGCGTGCTTGTGTGTGTATGTGTGTGTGCTAATGTAAAATTCCTAAGTGTGCCCGTGGAATGTGTAAATTATAAGCTATGTAAGTGTCTGAAAAACAAAAAACCCGCCCTCTTTTGGCCTTAACTAATGTATTGTATAATTACCCAGAAATTAGCCACGCCCCCTGAACAAAAAAAAAAACAAATACAAAATCCTTGGTAGTCCAAAGTGTGTAAATTATGATGTACAATGATTGTTTAGTAAAATGAAGAGAAGAGTGTAAAAAGAAACAACCGAACGAGAGATATTCTTGGGCCTTTGGTTTCAGCGCCTGAAAGCAGGCTACAAAAAAGTTGGTGAGAAAACAAAAGTTTCATTCTTCGGATAAACTTAAAACAATAATGTTTGGAAAGCTTTTTAAATGATAATCAAAAGAAAAAATAATGGACCAAATGTAAAAATAAGCTGTTCTATATTTTTGTCTAGTGAAATACAGATTAATTAGAACCTCTTCTGATCGAAACAAAATTGCATATTTATTTTGTAGTAACAGGCCTGCCACTAATTTCCACATATGTATGTATGTAAAGGCTAAAAAAATATCCATAGAATTCTTAAAACATTGGAAGTTCGGTTTGATTTTTTTAAGGTTTTTAATCACCTGCTGGAGTGATGGTTAAACACCCATTTTGAACTTTCAGCAGCGGCCCTTTCAGACTTTGTCTATTCGGATAATTTGCAGTTTAAAAAGAGCCAGGTGATCGTAGTTCGATGGCTAGTGTTTACACCGATAGTAGTCAACTTTTTGAATAGCTATAATTTTACGCGTTTACCTGTAAGTTTGCTAATTACGACTCAACAGAGATTCCCACACATCAGAAAATAGCAGTGAGAATCGGAATCAATCGATTGCTTAGGCAAAGTGGGATTGTCTTTACAGGTGAGCGAAGAAATAGAGAAATACAAAACAAAAGAAACAAAGAGAAGAAAATAAAAGGGCTTTTTCCAGTGTTGACCATAATTATTTGCGAAAAGTAGCTAAATCAACTATTTAATATAGCTTTTTGCGGTTAGCTCTCGTTAACTGTCGAAAATTGACATCTATGGGTCATACAAATTTGTAAAGTAGCTTACAGAAGTCACAAGACAACCAGTGATATTGTTTTCACTAGTTAATAACAGTATTTACTTTAATACAACCGTTGCTAATATAACTGGTTACTTCACTACGTTTTAGTTTTTAAATACATACATATGTATTTACTTCACTAATAGAATGCTTATATTGCGTATACGCCTAGTATCCGTTTAACTAATGTTCAAGTAATTGGTTGGCTAAAAAAAAAAACAATGTTAAAATACAGTAATTAAAAAGGTACTTTACTTTCAGTAATTTGTATTATTTGTCATTTTATTGTCGTATTACTTTTAACTGATAGTTTTTTTACTTAGTATTTAAAAGGCCTTATTTATTATTTTCTTTTAAAAACATTAAGTTTTGACTTTAAAATAGCCAATCTATCAGCATTTTCTGTTCCTTATTATCGTTTTGTCTTCTCATTATCGCTTCCACTCTTTTCGCTGCTTGTGTTTTAGTGTTGTCGAGTTGGCTACTTTCTGACTTTCATTAAAAATTAAAAAAAAAATGTATTTTAGTTAAATATTAAATCTGTTTGATAAATCACTATATTATTAACTTAACTTTATCTATAAATAATATACTTTTTTTGTATTTTTTTTTGTATTGATTAGCCTGGTTAAATCTCACACTTTATTTAAACCAAAAATTATTAAAATTCATAATTTTTGTATTATTTAGTTGCCGAATAAGATTAATATAATGCACTACACCTTTAAATTGGTGTTCCTCATAAGTTAATAATTTGTAAGTTTTATACCTTTCTTGTATATGATTTAGTTTATGTTTTATATTCAGGTTTTAGCTAAATTAGTAGTCTACAGTCGGCAACACTGATTAGGTTGGCTAACTTTCGAGTATGTTGCTTTCTTCTGCTTCGGCGTTGCGTCGTCTTCGGCACTCTTCAGTCTACAGTCTGCAGTCTACAGTCTGCAGTCTACAATCTGCGGTCTTCAGTCGTCTGTGGCCTTGCTTAGTCAACGGTTGTGTTGTCGCGTACCGCTCCGCCCGATTTTGCCGCCTGCACCTGTACCGCCCTCGCCGCTCGTCCCGCTTTTTGTTAGTGTGTTTGGCTGAGCTGAACGACCGACTGCACATGTAAGTAGATGTATGTATTTGTTTTGGTATTGGTATTTCCAGCTGCTTGGCGAAGGGGTCAACCCATACACTTGACTCCCGCGGCAACGGACTTTGGCGATCCGGTAAATCAGCGCCAAAGTCTGATGCACTAAGAAAAATCAATGCCACATTCTTGTTGATATTGTCATAGCTTGATTAAATTTTAAAATATTGCTATCTTAATAGAATTTAATAGTCTTGTTGGTCAGCAATCATATAAGCAACATAATGTAATGCGACTCCGTCAAGTAAACTATTTAAAATTGCTTTTGAAAATTTATTTTTTTTATTGTTTCAAGCTTAAAGAAATATTCTTATTTTTTCAGTACTCTAAAATACTATCATAATAAACTTTAGCTTGAAGAGATGTTGAAAATTGCATTGCATATTAGTCTTAGCTTTTAATAATATATAAGGGTTTTTAAAATCGATCACAAAATTATGAACATAACTTTTTAATATTTCTTTACCTTTTGCCTGCAATCAATGGTTTATGCCACCTTTTTTTGTGCTGTGTAGTGGAAACTTTCGCTGTCACTAACGTGTTTTCCCTGTAGTCTTTCCAGTGGGAACAGAGTAAATCTAAAGATACCGAGATGTCGTGGCTGGTGGTGCTGCTGATCCTGTACGTGATCTGGGATGTCAACTACTTCATCCGCTGCGTGTTCACGGTGTTCGCGGGTCGGCTGTTCCAGCGGAAGCGCAAGGTGACGGACACCACGACGATCTACGGGCTGTGCACATCGCAGGACGTGGACATCTTCATCCGGCACATGAACAATGCGCGGTACCTGCGCGAGCTGGACTTCGCCCGCTTCCACTTCTACGCGCTGACGGGCCTGTACGAGCGGATCCGCGAGCGCCGCGGCGGAGCGGTCCAGGGAGCCAGCAGCGTGCGCTACCGCCGCACCATCCCCATCTTCCACCCGTACAAGATCCAGACCAAGCTGGTCTGGTGGGACGACAAGGCCATCTACCTGGAGCAACAGTTCGTCACCCTCTCCGACGGCTTTGTGCGGGCGGTGGCCATGTCCAAGCAGAACATCACCAACTGCAACGTGCTGGAGGTGCTGAAGACCTATCCGGAGACCGCCCAGCGACCGGAGAAGCCCGAGGAACTCAAGCTCTGGCTGGACGCCATCGAATTGTCCAGCCAGAAGCTGCGCAAGGACAAGTGAGCTTGTGGAGATCTGGGATAACTCTTACTCTTGCCTCACTGTCTTAGACATGTAATCTCCTTCTTTTTTTTTTGAGTGCACTTTGAAGAAATATCAGTACACCAGTACACCTGTTTTTTTCACAACTTAAGTCAAAAGCCACATTAAAGCGCAGACATCATAAACTATTATGTTTTGTAAATGCTATATATTTTTTATATAAATAATAATATCAATACATTTGTAACATAAATAATTCAAAAAAATTCACTGTTTGCATACACGTATATAAGAAGTTCGTTAACAATATAATATTTTTTGTAATGATATGTTTGTTCACAGTGTTTTAGTTATAATATATAATTTGTGTAATAATATTTCTTAAATGGAATGGCCGAAGCTTTTTAAATATAGTTTTTTTACAAATTAAATTGTTTTTCACAACAAACCATATTTTAGCAATATTTTGGTATATCAGGTAAGATGAGAATTTGGTTTATTTATACCTTTCATTGTGCTAGTTTTACAAATTCTGTAGAAACGCATTTTTATGTGGCAATTCCGATGGAGTTTCGTTTCTCTACTTTCATTTATGCTAAGTTTGATATCACGCAACGCAAAGTCTGTATCGATAAGTCGATGGATTGTTTATTTTCTTTTCTGCTGCCTCCGTTATGGCACAACTAATAATGATTGTTTTTTTGATTTTTCGATTATGCAACTCCACAACGAAACTGTTTTGGGACTGCCATCATCAACATTTTGGTAGCCATAGAGTATGAACAAATGTTTTGCGAATTTCACACAAAAATAATCATAAATAATGTGTGGCTCTTGAAATATGTGGAAAATCTTTTGCAAATTAACAGTGGGATTCCCGGAAGATAGAAATGCAATTCGCATTCAGACAAACCATTAATGATAATGGGTTACCTTTACGGCATTACATTGAAATATTAATACATGATCTGCATTTTTTGCATTTGTAATCGTATCTTTCAAGAAATCTTTAAATAATGTTCTTTAGACTAGACAATTTTGTTTGGTTTATTGTTTTTTTTTTTAAGGGATTAAGGTATTTTTCTTTTGGAGCTTTAACAACTTTTTTTTTAATATCGCAATATTTGATTTCTTTGTTTTGATCATAAAGACCTCATCGATTTTATGTTTTGGCTATTTTTGCCCCTTTTTATTTTTGCAGAACTTTAAGCTTGTATTTATTTCTTAATCCTTATTAAACTTCATACTTACAATAAAGGGTACTTACAATAAAGGGTACATAAACGTCAGACGCCTTATTTATTTATTTTTACCATTTGTCTGTTTACTTGGCGAGGGTTCGTTAACCCCTTTTTGCCCTACGTGATAGCATGATAGTGCAAATAGTGATACCAATATTATCATATTTTAGACACTTGATTTTTTTTTAAGTTCTATCAAAGTGGCAGCCAGAAGTCGCAAGACAGCTTATTGTTGGCCGTAATCCGTAGCGTAATCTGTGACGTCATGTCGGACTGCAACAGCTGCACACACGGCGTATGCGTGCTGACCACTTCCACTTCCCGTCGTTTTGATTTGAAATCTCTCCATTCGCACACAGCTTTTAAATCGTTTATTGTACTTCTTGTTTTGTTTTCAGCTTTTTTCTGTGGTGCTTAGGCCGAAATGTGGATCAAAACGTGACACTGAAATCTAAACATAAATCTCATTCATAAAGTATGCAGACGGCGCGCGCGTCGCTCTTTTGAGGCCTCACGTACTCCCCAATTCTCCCAGTGTTTTGCTCTCTCAGAGCGACGGTCTCGGTGCAACTGTCACCAATTAATACACTTAAAAAATCGCTGTGGTAATCCATACGCAGAAGGACTTGGGGTATTATTTTTATATTTTTAAAATAATCCTTATGCTTAAAATAATTGATTTCTGTCTTTAGATAACTTTATTGGGTATATATACAACACTTTGATTTACTTTTGAGTCTAATATGTCGATTAAAATCAGGTACTTAAATCAGCTACCTATTTCAGGTACTTAAATTAATCATATAGTTTAATACATTTGAAGAGAACCACATTCATATGTATGTATAAATGCAATTATTGTGGGTTGCATTTTCTTATCAACAGCGAATATTTACATAAGGAAGAGTGTGTAAAATTGTTATGTGTTGTTATGCCAGTGGCTTTAATAACCTTCTGATGTCCCTCAATATACAAAAATTGCACAAATAAATGACTTAAATTGTATAATAAAAACAAAAAAGTTTAAGGTAAAACATACATTTTATATTTCTGTATATTCCACTTGATTAAAATTAAATACAATAATGTTTTGATACAACTAAATGAAAACAAACAAAACAATTATACGAAATCTATGAAATCTTTAGGCTGCGCCAAAATAAAAAAAATAAGCTATGAACATTTTAATTGTGGGGCATACACAATATTTTGTGCAGTGTGCTACAAGTTGCCACCGAAGCCACTTCGGCTGGACGTTCGTGCCACTTCGGCTGCTTCTTGACTATTTTCAACTGACAACGCGCAGAATTGTCAGTTTATTTTGAACAACCGCGGCGAGCGCACAGAAATCCCAGAGATCCCATCCGATACGATCCGATCTTATCCGACTCAGAAGTGCAGAACCAAGTGAACGAATAGCATAAAATCGGAAATTCTTGCACACATTAATTGGGCCAGAAAGTGTCTCAGTTTTGTTTCTTTTTTTCGAGTTTAATTTTGTGTTAACCAGTGCGAACGAAAATCCGTTGAAAGCAGCGATAATCCCGATAACTACAAATCCCGACCACATAGCCAATGTAAATGTCCTTTTTGCAGGCCAAACAATATATATAGCTTATAGAAAACCGATGCAGTGACGATAACAACGAACCTTGCAGTTTATTGACAGCAGCAGCAACAGCCACAAAAACCAGATTGAAAGCAAACAGCGAACAGCAAGCAACAAACAACTAACAGCAAACAACAAATAGCAACTTAAAGTAATTTGCAACTGAAAAGAAATGCGGCAATGGGGCACAAACAAAGTATAAATACATAGATTGGCCGATCGGCCCGAAAACCAACAATAACAGCACTGAAAAGCTACAACAAAAAAGAGAAAACTTTTCGTGGACGACACTTTGAAAGACCCACAACAACAACAACAACAACAACAACAGAATCAACAACAAACAACAACATTAAGCGGAGGTCTCAATGGTCAGATGGTGAAAATCTTTTTTTCAGAGCGACTGATCTTGTTGCTAAAGTTGTTGTTGTTGCTGTTGTTGTTGTTGTTAGCTGGCGGATCTGCGCAATACCAAGTTTACTTACTGGTTTCCACTGTACAGTACTCTCTAAGTGTCATCCTCCCCTGATCTTTTGTGATCTTTGTTTGTACATTACCAAACATATTACACACTGTGTTCCCATTTTCAGTAACTTTTATTTAAAGTTCAACAAAGAATTCAAAGCCCTTTTTGATTAAAATACCCAAAGTAGTATCTTTCTTTTGCCTGTTTGATCTTTTAGTCTTTTGTTTTCTTTGTTTGGATATTATGAAATATTAAACTTGTGTGCTCCCATTTTAAATAACTTTTATTTATAAAGACGTATTTTATTGGAGGTCTAATAAAGATGCTTTGACATCATATAACTTTAAAATTTAACCATTTAATCTTTCACTTTAAAATTTACGGATTTTGGTTGAGTCCAACGATTTCTCTCTTTAATTTTATAGTGTTAATATAATTTAAGGGACAGCTTTCTTACAAAAAGAAATTACCAACTTGGCATTGTGTCTTGTGATTTCACCAGAAGTACATACCTATTTCAATAGGTATGACATTCCACATTCCACATTCCCAATATTGTCTTATTTCTACTTACTATTCTAATTTAGAAATAAAGAATTAGGACAAATGCTAAAAAATGTATATATACAAATGTTTATGTCCAAATGCATCCAAAAGCAAACACATTTGAATTGGGTTAAATGCATTTCAATGAAGAAAGGGCAATTAATACCACACTTTAATTTGCGACTGAAAACCAAAAAGAATCTAACCAATATATAAGTTTTGCTATCAGTGTTGCGAAAATCTAATGGCAATTTTCTAAACTTTTGGGTAAATGGAAACAATTTGAGATTTAAGCTGGCAGCATTTCCCCGGGCATAAATCACTCTGCCACATCCGCAGCATCAGATCCAGCTACTCGAATTATGATAAATGTGAACGGTGGATAGTGTATAGGGCATATGGTGTGTGTAGTGTGTAGTGTGTAGTGTGTACTGTGTGGTTGTGGTGTGCGGTGTATAGATGGGGGCGGTGGGGAATGGTGGGTGGGTAAATCGCAAATTTTCAGCGTCAAATGCCATTAAGCCAGTCCGCGTTATTGAGTTAAATTGGAAAATAAGCGAGCGACAGTTGCTCTCGTTGTTGCTGTTTCTGTGTTGCTGGGTTTTTGTGTTGCTGTGTTTTTGTGTTGCTGTGTTTCTGTGTGCCTTGTGCAATTGTTCGCACTTGGAGACGACAAACTGGGAATGGTAATCGCAGTAGTAATGGGAACTGGACTGAAAAAAAGCCACAGCCATGCGAACTGGACAGCCCTGGACATCGCAGTCCAGACCAGAGCCATTACCCCGCCCATTCCCGCTTATTATTTGCACTATTTCATTATTATGTTCGGGGGGCGGACGGATGATAGTTATTTCAATTATATAGTGGATAGCGCAGCTCTCGACCCTCGAGCAAGGCATTCCAAATCCAAATCCGAATCCGTGTCCGAGTCCGACTGCGAGTGCGAAGGGGTTGCATTATCGTGTGGGAGGATCGAGATTAGGAGACGCGTGCTCCTCTGGGATTTCAAGTTCAGATCTATTAGCGAGGTTGGCTGGAGATTCATTTTGTATATTTTTAGGCAGAATATTAAAACTCGAGAAATAAATTAGCTATATTTTCACCATCCTAAAAATCCAACGATTTACTTTAAAAATAAATGCTTAGCCTAGAGTTCAAAAACGTACCAAATACTAAGGGCTAGTGTCTGATCTTCTTATCAACGAGGTTAATTAAAGCCATTTAAGATTACAATTTTTGTTTAATTTTTAATTCGCTGTATCCTTCAAGCAGTTAATAGATCTTTTATAACACGTAATCGTCGGCAGTATAATTAAAAAACCCTATTCCTCTTCATTTTCATTTTCATTTTCATTTCATTGCTAGCTCACACGCAATTTTTGTTTGTGGTCGAACACGAATTTTCCCAGATCCATGCAGCTCGATTGCAACAAAACATGTGATCATTTGCATGAAGGCAATTCTTTCCCATGAAAGTGAAGAAGAATGGTAATTTTGGCAATAGTAATTCGCCCCTTGATTCTCTACACTTTCGCAATGTTGCAGATAGGATTTTTGAATATATTTAGCTTTATACGATAAACTATTCAATGGTGATTGTTCTTTTAAAGCTAACATAACTTTCTTGCAGTTGTTGGAATATGTAATTACTTTGCAATGATTGTTTGTTATTTGTTTTCAAACCTAAAGGAAGTGGAACAAATAATTTTGATTAAATAATTGTCAACCCTGAATGCTTTTTGCCATACTCAGTTCAAATAAACAGAGGAGGACATCCATTTATCTGTTCATATGCTTCGGTGACCATGGACATTGCGTCCGCTGCTGCTGTTAATTTTGTTATTTGTTTGTTTAGTTATTGTTTTCATTCAATCATACGAAATATTTGCATAAGCGAGTGCCCATCCATGTGTGGACATTTGTACATGTGCAGCAGCTGCAATTGCTTAACCAAACGCCCCCGCTGCGGTGGCACACACACACTCGGTACACTCGGTGCACTCGGTACTCCAGTTACATGGCATAGACAAAAGGAAATGCCAATGAAATACAAAAAATAATAATAATAAAGATATATAAATATAAGTTATTTATGTGAACCTTCAGTCAATTGAGGACCCAAATCGCTCATTTGATAGCTAGAAAACACTGCTGCCGCGCATAATTTATGTTGAAACGAGGGGGATTCGAAATATTAAAGGGTCTTGAGGTAAAATAGCCCTGACTGAAGTCTTCTTCTCTAATTTCAGAACCCGCGATGGGCAATGCCGGCTATACATGCATACGCCGCACCTTTTGCTGGCTCAACATTATTCTATGGGTAAGTTATTTGAATTTACCCAAAAAAATCTATAGGTTGCTAAAAATTTTTCACACACAACGCTTGAAATTCTTTAACCATTATTGAATAAATATAAATAAAAATTTATTTAATGGTAAACAAATTTTTAAGATTTTTCGCAGCAATTTATCAAACAAAAAAAAAGGGGATTATTATTTTGTAAAGTTTGTTAAACCATTACAATTTCTGAAACTTAGATTAAACAGAACTGATGTTTGCTTTATTATTTTTTATGATTTCATTTTTTGGTTGATAATTCAAAATTTCTTTGGTGAGTGGACAAATCTTGACTATTTTTTCCAAGTGCATAGAGTGACGACGGATATGCAGCATCAGTAACAGAGTGTAAACATATAGAATCAGAATCGGAATGAGAATGAGAATCGGAATCAGAATCAGAATCAGAAGGTAGAGCAGCTAATCAGAGACATAACTTTGCCGCCGTCGTCTGCAGCGGAAGTGTCTTTTGTGACGGCATGTTGCATTGTCACAGCGCCTGTCATTGACTTTTTGCTTTGGGCTTTGGGCTTTGGTTTCAGTTCAGTTCAGTTCAGTTCCAGTTTCGAACTCGACTTTGACTTTGGCGGCGACTCTGGTTGCAGCTTTTTGAATCTCAATCTGCAGCTGCAGCTTCCGTCGCCTTTTTGCAGTCGGTTTCCCCGGAAAGTTCCCCACATGTCACATGTCAGCCTTTGTGGACATGCAACAGTTGGGTTTTGAAGGCTCTGCATTCAGCTGCCAATCGTGGGAATTATCTGATTTTTACCTCTGAAATATATATCCTTCACCAAATGAAGCATCAATGGCAATTAATCAAGGCCTGTGTCCATCTGACACTGGCTGAAAACAAACAGGCTGTTTAACTGCTCCCATAGAAACGTAGATCAGCATTCATTCGAGACAGAAATATTGACATTTATTTATTTAGAAACAGTTTTTTAAGCTTGAATCCTTAGATTTACCTCCTTCTCACTATTATTTAAACTAAATTTATATATTTTTTTTGCAAATTGTTTGTTCTTTAGTTGTATTAAAAATGTTTCACAATTATTTATGGCCTAATTATTTATTTTGTTGGCATATCTAAAACGGTTTATTGACTTCAAAATGTTAATGTATTATATATTGTTTCTGCAATCAAAATGTAAAATACCTATTCGCTTCATTAACATATTAACAGCTTTTTAAATTGATTTACCATGCCCACATAAACATTTTACTTTTTAATCTTAATAGTAAAAGCTTTTAATTAAAACGTTTTGTAGTAACTACAATTTAAATTCGGGGTTCTTAATCACAATTAGTTGTGGTACCCAAAGCAATTTGCAGTTCCCTCTCTCTTTTCGATTATTCTGCATGGTAATAAGTGCCTTTCTAATATTCAATTTCCATTTTCCGATTCGACCCATTGCAGCTGTGTAGCTGTGCGTTTTTAGGAGCCGGGCTGTGGCTGCGTCTGAGCTACGAGGGCTACGCCACGCTGCTGCCCCAACACGCCGGCCTGAGTGCGGACACCATCTTCATGGGCATCGGGGGCACCGGGTTCGTGGTCAGCTTCTTCGGCTGCTGTGGCGCCTGGGTGCAGTCCCGCTGCCTCCTGGTACTGGTGAGTAGATGGGGGAGCAGGGCTAAGGAAAGGAACATTAATCAAAAGTTAGAATATAAAAACATAGTATGCTTAATATGAATTTTTACCCACCAACCTTTGGAAAAAACATTTCAGGGAAAACTTAATGGAGAGGAACATTGAGCAAGAATTGGAATATAAAAAAATGATATACTCCATTTGATTTTTAACCCATTAAACTTACTCTTGTAACCATTTCACAAGAATCAGAAACATTTAACACCTGTGGCAGAAAATTAATTGGTATAAAAATATTTCAAGGAAGTGTAACTCTTTCGAAATTGCTGGTTTTATTCATTTGTTTTTTATATTATAGAATGTGAGTCCTTTCTATGAAATTTCATAGGTGTTATTCCATTAAATCATAAAAAAGAGTTTTAAAATTTATTATATTAAATATGGCACCCATGACGTATGAGTAATTTTTATGTGCAACTCATACGTACCGTTGTTTTATTCTTATAAATAAACATATATAAAATGAAGAATTTAAAAACTATAATAAGAATTTTCTTTGAAGCTGCATGTTCCATTAAATGATAAAAATGAAGTTTTATTAATGGCACTCATGTCGTATGAGTGATTTTTATTTTCTGCGTAACTCATACGTTGCCATACCCCTACTCCTACTTTCCCCGCAGTACTTCATGCTGATTGTGATGCTGTTCATGAGCGAGTTCCTGGTGGGCTCCATCGCCTTTCTCTTCCGCGGCGGATTGGGACGGACTTTGGCCAACGAGCTGCGCTTCGGGATCGAGCGGCACTACAACACCAGCGATCGGGGATCTTTGGTGGCGCCTTCGGTGGCCTCCATTTGGGACAGTGTGCAGCAGTCGGTGAGTGGCGCCTTTCCCTTTCCCCTTTCTCCTTTCGAGATCGAGATCGAGTTCGAGATCGCAGTAGTGACCCTTTTCCACCGATCGATCCACAGTTCGAGTGCTGCGGCGTGTCTTCGTACGAGGACTGGTACGACATCCAGTCGTGGCCGGGAAAGCGCTGGGTGCCCGAGTCCTGCTGCAGGACCTTGTACGACCAGCGCCAGGTGCTCACTGAAGGATCCGGCGACGGAATGATGCGTGCCGACTGCGGCAGGTAAGTGACCGATCTAGATTTAGATTGTTTCAATAAAAAAATTAATGTTCAGAGCTTGGAAACTTCGAAAAAAAGTGTCAGATAGCCAAAAAATAGGTAGTTCTTTGAAACTGTCCAAAAAATGTAATAACTTTAATTTTAACAATCTAATTTTGTATTATTTTTAATACCTAGAGACTTGAAACAACCCCAAAAAGTATCAAAATTCTGAATTTATAAAATATTTAAAATATTAAACCTTTAGATATTTTAGTTTCTACATCCTTTCGGTTTGCCTGGAATGCTATTATTCTTACTTATATTCTATACTATATTCAAATTGTTATATTATGTTCTACTTAATATATTTCAGATCAGAGAACCCGTCGTTGTGGTGGGACAAGGGCTGTGCCCACTCGCTGCAGAGCTGGTTCACCGGCCAGCTGAATGTGGTGGGAGCCGTGGGTCTCGGGATCGCCTTCGTCCAGCTATTCGGACTGATCACCTCGATGCTGCTCTTCTGCACGGTGAAACACAAGCGTGCATCGGACACCTACAAGTCGTACTCCCCTTCTATCGATCCCCAAACCCGCACCAGCAGTTGGGAGGATTGAACGCGCCTGTAATGCTGTGGTGCTTGGCGAACTTCTAAATCGGGGGGTCGGAGCTACCCCCTTCCCCCACCTGTCGCTATCTCTATTATTTTTGTTAGCTCTCTTAGGTTCTAAATCATTCTGCGAAATGTGCCAAAAATTAATTTAATTGAAAGTGTATTTTTTTTGTTTTTTGTTGTTATCTGTAGGCGAAGACATATCGAACAAAATTTAAGGGCGCTAGGATGACGTGTCCACATCAACGGCAGTGTGAACAGGGCATAATGTTCCCAGTGTTCCCACAATCACATACATATATACAGAGATGTTTAGTTAGCGGTGTATCCATATTGTGATGTGCTCTCTAGTAGTATAGTTTATGGCCCAAGACCCTGTACACACACAAAACCGGGTACAGTGCGTACAATACTTATCAGGCCGCCAAAAGTACACAAAGCATAGTGTCAACAGGGTATTTGGGCCCAGTTATGCTCGTAACCCTTTAACTAAAGCAATATATCAACTATATATTTATACATAATTATACATTAATACTTATGTTATTTTATGGAACTTTGTAGTATTCGAAATAGCAGAAACCGCAACTGCCCGCAAAGCAACAAAACCCAGAAGACAAAGACGAAGAGGAGAAAGAGGGAGCAGATAGTTAAAACAAATATTATTACTACTATGAATATGATTATTTTATTTATACATACATATATATATATTTATATTTATATCGAAATACATTCCTACACAACATGTTCGTGTTAAGTTACAAATAAATTAAAGTATTTATTTAAATTACAAACAAAAAGCAGTTCAAGTGGGTGGTGTAATACCGTTAGAGGCCCACCAACTTGCCACCGATGATATCCAATTGGGCGGTAATTCCCTTCGTCACGCTGCGCGCCAACTCTTTGGGTTTCTGAGAGTAAAAGTGATGAAGAGAGAGGAAGAGAAAGAGAGGAAGCGAGTGTTAAAGAGAGGGAAAGCTGGAACTGACCTTGGTCAAAATAAACATACGACTAATTGCATAAGCAGTGCCAACAATCGGTAGTGCTGCCAATCTGGGTTTTCTTTTTACCCACAAATCTAGCTTTTTTACACTCTTTTTTATGGATAAATACACAAAACGGCCAATATTGTAATATTGTAGATTTCTTGGAAACTAATAACAATTGTTTCTCACCAAGAAATATTAATGTTTTATTGATTTTTATTTTGTCATCTGATTTACCTTTTTGTGAATTTAAATTTAAAAGTATTTTGTATAAGAGTTTTACTTTAAATATTAATTATAATTCAAAAACAATTAAAAAACAGGTAAATATAGCGTTAAAAAAATGGCGATAAAACCGTATTTAAATCTAGTAATTTCCCACAATTATTTTATAGCAACTCAAGATGTGCAGCACCGGCAAAGAGATCAGCAGTTGGACAGTCAGTGACTCAAACTGCACTGGGAATATTATGCAACGCGTGTGCGAATGGTTCCACGATGGGAAAAGGCAAGCAAACACAAACAATCGCCGGAATTTCGGCACTCACCTGAATGAAGGTGTTCAGCAGGTTGGAGAAGGCCTCGTAACCGTTGACAATGGATCGCGAGATGCCGTCGAACATGTCGCCATTGTTGCCGTACTTTTCGTGCTCACTGATCGAGTCCAAAATGGGAATGGGCTGGGATCGATTTCAGTGAGGTCAACTGGTGCGAAATGGGGGGATATGGCCTCACTTACCTGGGTCAAATCGGCCAGCTTCTTCTGGCTGTTGTCGTACACGCTCAGCACCTTCGAGGGAATGGCCTCCTGCTCCAGATTCACCGATTCGGCCGTCTTCGCTGGAGTCGGCAGCAAAGAAATCTGCTCGAAAATAAGTGTAGATTACTTGGTAGTCGTAAATAAATACAAAATAATAAAATAAATAATATTATAAGGCAATTAAAGTAATAAACTTTGAATTTAGTTTATAGAGACACAAAATATGCTTTAATTTGTCAATTAAATTAATATTTTATTTTTCTGATATAAAAACAATATTGTATGATAGAATATAGTGTTTTAAATTTAAATTGATTTTAAAATTGAGGTAGAAATTGATTATAAAACAATTGCATAACATCGGAGAGTTAACTTAAAGAGCTTTTACTATTATCGTTTTGATGTTCCTAATCTTCATGGCTGTCATCATGTGTTGGAGCAACAAACAAATCATAGATAGCTGTAAAATCCCACTATTGTTATGTGTGATTAAGAGCTTGGTGTTATTTTTCAGGCCCCTGACCTTGGCTGCCCTTCGGCTGGGATACAACTGACCCCTTGACCCCCGACTCACCTTGAACCCGGCCTCACTGGCCTGCGATTGCGTGGCTTCAACAGAGCTGTCGGCGGCATCAAAGGCGTCCTGGGCTCCAAAATCAGCGGCCGAGACACGGGCGTCGATGGGCGTGGCACCGTCGGGCGTGGCAGGAGCGATGGGCGTGCCGGCGATGCAGTGCACCATGGTCAAAAGGAGCAGCAGAAGATGCATCTTCACATGTTGCAGCATCATATCGTTTTATGTATTATGTGTTTGCTTTTTACGAGGGAAGGGGAAATTGCAAAACGACGCTTATGAAACGAGGTGACAACGTGCAGTCCAGTTTCCAGTTGCCCAGGCCAAACACAAAACCAAATCCAGCTGCAAATCCCGGCCGGAGCTTCGATCCGAAGTCTGTCGAGTCCAAAATTCAACTGAATGGCCGCGTCTGCGCAACGATTTTATTGGTTTAACCCGACCACGAGAGTCGCCGCTTTGGACATTGAGCCACGATCGTTTTGGCTTTAGTTTGGCTTTCGGTTGGAGCTCAGGTTTTCAGGGGGCATTCGGCGGTTAGCGACTGCGGGAGCCGCTTTTTTATTTTTGGGTGATTAAGGAAAGTGATTGCTCACTCCGAAAATCTATACAAAACTCACATGTAAAGTACGTTGATTGCATTTTGTTATTTAACATTAAGAAAACATGGCGGAAATTGAAGTAATCAAAACCGTTATGGAGGACTTTAATCACACAAAAATAAAAATAATATACCGTGCCAGAAGTGGACACGGAAATTGGATAAATAAATTAAACTAATATATCAAATGAATATTTCCTTTTATATGCAATGTCCGTTTAACAAAAATTTTTTTAAAACATGTTTTTACTTTACCATGTCAACTATATCCAAAACCTTCATGTCGCTATGGCCGTCCCAAATTTTTCCGACAGTGTAGTGCATCGATTGTAATAGAAATGACAACAACAAAGAGCACTACAACGGTAACAATAACAACAATAATAACAAAGGCGAAACCGGCAACTTGTTGCTGTCAACAAATGTTGCCGCCGCCATCCATTCTGTCGCAACAATGAGGAAGGAAACTCGGTTTACGTTAACTCAGTTTACTCAGTTAGTTGGTCAATCGGTTGCCGCCCCTCACCCACAGAAAACCACCCCGCCAACTTTTTGGTTGTTGTGCAATTCTGATTTCACACTGGGACAAACTTGATAGATCTCCAAAAAGGCAAAAGAGACTTTAAAAACTAATTGTGCTAACAATTTTCGCATTTTTGATAAGGAGTTAAATCATTTTTTATGAAAATTTGGGAAAGTTTATCTGTAAATGCCATTGGACCAGAAATTGTATGACGAATTCAAAGATCTCTTAAGCGTTTTTGGTTGTTCTTCAGCCAAAACAAGACGCATAGTCATAAAAAGACAATCGGTTTAGAAAACTTAATATTGTTTTGATACAAAACCAGATTTTTGACCAATTTTTGCATTTTTGTTAAGGGGGGTACATCATAATTTTTTTCGAAAATTTGAAAAGCTAAACAAATTTTAGCTGTGAATGCCATTTGATTGGCAATTTGATGACGAATTCACCGATGTATGACATTCCATCTGGTGACCATTTTTTCCCAAGGTTTTGATACAAAAACCGATATTTTAGGTGCTTTTTTTTTGAGTTTTTGGAGATTTCACAAATACAAAAATTCCTAAAGCGTCCTTTTTTTGTAACTTGGCCAAAATGAGAGGAAGAGCCATAAGAGTGACTGTTTTGGACAGCTAGCAACCTATACTACCCATCTAAAATCAGTTTAGAGCCATTTATTTGGTTTTAATATGAAAAATCGATTTTTCAAAATAGACTTTTGAAAAATTAACGTTATGGCCAATTTTCGCATTTTTGATAAGGGGGTACATCATCATTTTTTGCGAATTTTCGAAAATCTAAAAAATTTTTAACTGAGAATGCCATTTGATTGGCAATTTAATGACGAATTCGCCGATGTATGACATTCCATCTGGTGACCATTTTTTCCCAAGGTTTTGATACAAAAACCAATATTTTAGGTGCTTTTTTTTGAGTTTTTGCAGATTTGACCAATAAAAAATTTCTAAAGCGTTATTTTGTTGTAACTTGGCCAAAATTAGAGGTAGAATTATAAGATTGGCTGTTTTGGACAGCTGGCAGCCTATACTACCCATCTAAAATCAGTTTAGAGCCATTTATTTGGTTTTAATATGAAAAATCGATTTTTCAAAATAGACTTTTGAAAAATTAACGTTATGGCCAATTTTCGCATTTTTGATAAGGGGGTACATCATCATTTTTTGCGAATTTTCGAAAATCTGAAAAATTTTTAACTGAGATTGCCATTTGATTGGCAATTTAATGACGAATTCGCCGATGTATGACATTCCATCTGGTGACCATTTTTTCCCAAGGTTTTGATACAAAAACCGATATTTTAGGTGCTTTTTTTGAGTTTTTGGAGATTTGACCAATAAAAAATTTCTAAAGCGTGATTTTGTTGTAACTTGGCCAAAATTAGAGGTAGAACTATAAGATTGGCTGTTTTGGACAGCTGGCAGCCTATACTACCCATCTAAAATCAGTTTAGAGCCATTTATTTGGTTTTAATATGAAAAATCGATTTTTCAAAATAGACTTTTGAAAAATTAACGTTATGGCCAATTTTCGCATTTTTGATAAGGGGGTACATCATCATTTTTTGCGAATTTTCGAAAATCTGAAAAATTTTTAACTGAGAATGCTATTTGATTGGCAATTTAATGACGAATTCGCCGATGTATGACATTCCATCTGGTGACCATTTTTTCCCAAGGTTTTGATACAAAAACCGATATTTTAGGTGCTTTTTTTGAGTTTTTGGAGATTTGACCAATAAAAAATTTCTAAAGCGTGATTTTGTTGTAACTTGGCCAAAATTAGAGGTAGAACTATAAGATTGGCTGTTTTGGACAGCTGGCAGCCTATACTACCCATCTAAAATCAGTTTAGAGCCATTTATTTGGTTTTAATATGAAAAATCGATTTTTCAAAATAGACTTTTGAAAAATTAACGTTATGGCCAATTTTCGCATTTTTGATAAGGGGGTACATCATCATTTTTTGCGAATTTTCGAAAATCTGAAAAATTTTTAACTGAGAATGCTATTTGATTGGCAATTTAATGACGAATTCGCCGATGTATGACATTCCATCTGGTGACCATTTTTTCCCAAGGTTTTGATACAAAAACCGATATTTTAGGTGCTTTTTTTTGAGTTTTTGGAGATTTGACCAATAAAAAATTTCTAAAGCGTTATTTTGTTGTAACTTGGCCAAAATTAGAGGTAGAACTATAAGATTGGCTGTTTTGGACAGCTGGCAGCCTATACTACCCATCTAAAATCAGTTTAGAGCCATTTATTTGGTTTTAATATGAACAAGAAAGAAAGCAAACTTCGGCAAGCCGAAGTTCATATACCCTTGCAGCTATTGCAAGAATTAAACATTTTTGAAAACATTAAAATTATAATTTACTTGCGTATATGTTTAAAAACATTGAAGCTATGATTATTTGCAGCTCAATTATTTGATAGTTACTTTATATATTTTTATTGTTCCTATGGGAGCTATATGATATAGTCGTCCGACTTTGATGAAACTTAAACCGTAAATGGGAAATATTTAACCATTACTAAATGTCGAAGAACTAAACAAAAAATTAAAAAACAGAAAAATTATAATTTTTTTTCATTTATTTCTCCGATTGTTCCTATTGAAGCTATATGATATAGTCGTCCGACTTTGATGAAATTTAAACCGTTAATCGAAAATATTTAACTATTACTAAATGTCGAAGAACTAAACAAAAACCTAAAAAACAGAAAAGTTATAATTTTTTTCATTTATTTTTCCGATCGTTCCTATGGGAGCTATATGCTATAGTCGTCCGATTTTGATGAAATTTAAACCGTAAATCGGAAATATTTAACCATTACTAAATGTCGAAGAACTAAACAAAAAATTAAAAAACAGCAAAGTTATAATTTTTTTTCATTTATTTTTCCGATTGTTCCTATGAGAGCTATATGCTATAGTCGTCCGATCCGGCTCGTTCCGACTTATATACTACCTGCAATAGAAAGACAACTTTTGGGAAAGTTTCATGCAGATAGCTTTAAAACTGAGAGACTAGTTTGCATATAAACGGACGGACAGACGGACAGACGGACGGACAGACGGACGGATTGCCATTTGATTGGCAATTTAATGACGAATTCGCCGATGTATGACATTCCATCTGGTGACCATTTTTTCCCAAGGTTTTGATACAAAAACCGATATTTTAGGTGCTTTTTTTGAGTTTTTGGAGATTTGACCAATAAAAAATTTCTAAAGCGTGATTTTGTTGTAACTTGGCCAAAATTAGAGGTAGAACTATAAGATTGGCTGTTTTGGACAGCTGGCAGCCTATACTACCCATCTAAAATCAGTTTAGAGCCATTTATTTGGTTTTAATATGAAAAATCGATTTTTCAAAATAGACTTTTGAAAAATTAACGTTATGGCCAATTTTCGCATTTTTGATAAGGGGGGTACATCATCATTTTTTGCGAATTTTCGAAAATCTGAAAAATTTTTAACTGAGAATGCTATTTGATTGGCAATTTAATGACGAATTCGCCGATGTATGACATTCCATCTGGTGACCATTTTTTCCCAAGGTTTTGATACAAAAACCGATATTTTAGGTGCTTTTTTTGAGTTTTTGGAGATTTGACCAATAAAAAATTTCTAAAGCGTTATTTTGTTGTAACTTGGCCAAAATTAGAGGTAGAACTATAAGATTGGCTGTTTTGGACAGCTGGCAGCCTATACTACCCATCTAAAATCAGTTTAGAGCCATTTATTTGGTTTTAATATGAAAAATCGATTTTTCAAAATAGACTTTTGAAAAATTAACGTTATGGCCAATTTTCGCATTTTTGATAAGGGGGGTACATCATCATTTTTTGCGAATTTTCGAAAATCTGAAAAATTTTTAACTGAGATTGCCATTTGATTGGCAATTTAATGACGAATTCGCCGATGTATGACATTCCATCTGGTGACCATTTTTTCCCAAGGTTTTGATACAAAAACCGATATTTTAGGTGCTTTTTTTGAGTTTTTGGAGATTTGACCAATAAAAAATTTCTAAAGCGTGATTTTGTTGTAACTTGGCCAAAATTAGAGGTAGAACTATAAGATTGGCTGTTTTGGACAGCTGGCAGCCTATACTACCCATCTAAAATCAGTTTAGAGCCATTTATTTGGTTTTAATATGAAAAATCGATTTTTCAAAATAGACTTTTGAAAAATTAACGTTATGGCCAATTTTCGCATTTTTGATAAGGGGGGTACATCATCATTTTTTGCG